AATTTTGCCAAAACTTTCAAAAAAATTAATGGACGAAATTTCACAACATGCATCTGCTGATAAAATTGGAGTGACTGTAGTCTTTGATGGCTGGACAAACATCAAGCGGGAGCATCTTTTTGGTGTCGTCTTTATTACTTCTCAGGGTGAAGCTTTGGTTTGGAATGTACATGACGTTAGTGATCGATGATCAAGAACTGAGGATGTGAAACTTCTTATTAAAGGTATAATGGATGATGTCGAAGAAAAAGACATAAAAATTAATTGTTATGTATCAGATTCTGCTGGTAAGTATGCAGCTGTAAGGTAAATATTATACATATTAATGTACTTATATTTTAAATATAGTACTAATAATACAATTTAATTTTTTAGACAACAACTACGAATTGAATATCCGAATAAAGTTTTCATACCTTGTATGGCACATCAAATCAACTTAATTTTCGGTGATATTTTCAAGGAATCTGATGCATACAAAACAACATCAAAAAACGCAATACATATTGTAAGCTATTTTCATTCCTCTCCATATTTTACCGGATTATTACGAAATGAGCAAATGTCATGCTATAAACAAACGATTTCTCTTGCCACTCCGGCTGAAACACGTTGGAACAGTTTCTATTTTTGTTTTCATTCTGTTTTAAAGACTGAAGCCGCACTCAAAGTAAGTAATATTTTACTATAATAAAATACATTTAATAATTTTAATTAAATATCTCATTATTTTACATAATTAGATATTAGCTACAAAATTTTCACCAGAAAGAATTGGTACAGCTAGTACTTCTCGAAGTGGACAAATACGACAACAATTTTCAACAAATACAGATACAAATAAAACTCTTTCATCTGATATTGTATCAATTATACAAGATTCCAATTTTTGGATCTAACTCTATGAGCTTCAAGATTTGCTATGGCCATTGTATGGAGTATTAAATAAACTCCAAAAAGATATCACAAGATTATATGAAATCGTACATTGCTTTGGATGAATTATTGAAATTTTTGCAAATCACCAAAATAAATATTTTTCTAATCATATGATAACACGATTAGAAAATCGGTGGTCTCAATGAGAACAATCTTTACTTTTACTGTCACTTGTTTTACATCCAAAATACCAACTTTCAAAGTTTTCTTCCAACATTTCTGGTCTTTCTTATACTCATTTTGGCCAATGGATTTGTTACTATTATTATGCATGGTTTGGAGAAACACCAACACATATTTTACGTGAATTTTTATCATATCAAAGAGAGATATTTCCTTTTAATAAGGAAACATACAATCAATTTGATGAAGATATTATTGATTTTTGGGAGTCAGCAAGAGGTTTAACACCAGAATTGTCATGATTAGCTTTGCAATTATTTGGAATATGTGTTAATTCAGCTTCTGTTGAACGATTATGATCAAATATGGGCTTTTTACATACAAAACATCGAAATTGTTTGCAGATATGTATATAAATTATTTTTGATTTGTTTGAATTTTATTTACTAATCTTAATTTTTATAAAAGTACAAAAAAGTATTAGCAATGAGTCAATTGCACAGTGATATACTAAACAAATGAAAATGTCAAGATATTGAAAAATCTGAACAACAATACAAACGAATTCATATTGCAACTCCTATTTAACCTTATGATAGTGATGAAACTACATCACAAGAAGAATTAATAGAATTACTTTCACCTAATGTAAGTGATAATGAAGAAGAAAATTCAACATCATCTTTAAATGATTTATCGATTCAAGCAAGTGAAACTTCTGAAAAAACTGATGATGATATTGAAATATTTAATGAAGAGCATTGGTTACATGTTATTGAGAATTGGATAAGTATATTGAATATTGAAAATCATTTAGATAATGGTGAAATTGTAAATAGTGAACCATCTGAATTTGAATTTGAATTGGGTGGACATATTATTCATCTAGCAGATGATCCATTAGCAAAATGGAATTTGTTAGGATTATTCAATGATTCATTAGAAGCTCCTGTTGCTTTTACTCTTTAATAAACATTAATAATTCAATTACTTATATTATAAAATTATAAAAATTTTCAAATGACCCAATAGGTCATTTGGATTTTTAAATGACCAATGACCAGTCATTGGTCATTGGGGTCATTTGGGTCATTTCAAGTCATTTACCATCACTGTTCAATACAATCTAATTACCCTTTATCTTTAATCGGAAATATGGCTTTTGATTTACCAAATCCAACAACAATTGATAAATGTGGAGCTCGCACAATTAGTCTTCGGACTACGGGTAACGAGAAACAATTTCACTGTTGCTCCTGGATGCATGGCCGAAGGAACAAAATTACCTTTAGTTTGTATTTTTAAACTAAAAAAGATACCCCGAGAAAGCTTTCCTAATAATATATTTATTCGTGTAAATGAAAAAATGTTGGTTAATGAAGAAATGCTTTGGTGGGTTGAAAATATTTGGACTAAAAGACTGCCTTTAAGTTCTTTAAATCATTATCGCAGTACATGCTTTCTTGACAATTGGTACATTTATTACAATTATGAGTAATCGAGTCTTGATTAAACTATCTGAAGAACTTTCAGACACTCTTTTCTGAGTTCGCTTTAAAATTTTTAGTGATTATGTTCTGTGTTTTATATAGAACGTAGATGTTTAAACTCTCTGAAATGCAATATTCTCATTCTTGATTCACCCCTGAACGGCAATAAATTTTAAACCCATCTTAATTCATCGTGATCTACAATAATTTTAAAAAACCCTATCGCTATTGCTATTCTTGATCCAGCTGTTCAGATCACGTGATAATTTGTTGATGTGATAGGTTTCGGTTAGGTTAGGTCTGGATCTGGATTAGGGTTATTTGGCAAACAAAATTGATATTTATAGTAAAATTTCTCAAGGAATATTTTTTCATAGGTAAAATTTCGAGATATAAGCTAATTTTTCAAAAATAAGCGTTTGTTTTGTTTATTTTTGATCTTGCGATTTACGTAATTGGTTATCAAGGATAGGATTTTTAAAATTTAAAAATTATTGCTGTTCAGGGGGTGAATCAAGAAAAGGGGTCCGGGTGAATCAAGAACGAGAATTTTGTCTCTGAAATCATGACAAGATAATAAGATAACAAAGATGATAGTACTCCCTTGATAATATACCCTCATAGTTAATCATAGTTAATACCCTAGGATTAATCATTCATCCAATACAACAAATCCTATGCTACATGGTGAATTAAAAATAATTTTACAAGAGCTATTGCACACAAGTAATTATTTTTAGAGCTTTTTAAACACACTGTATTTGATTTTTAAGTATCAGTCTTTATATACATTTTTGTTTTCATATTACGTACAAGAAAAATCATTGATTAATTTGCTACACAAAGTATAGAATAAACTATTGCAGAAACTAATGTAAATTATTGGATAAATTGCTGCAGAAATTAAATTATTCGATAAATTATGGTGTAAATTATGGAACAAAATTTTGGTGTAAATTACATTGCATTGTTATAAACGAGTTCTACCGTAGTACACTGCTTACAGTATCCCCAATATACAAGCCCTCCCGTGATTAAGAATCGGGGTACACTACACGAAATCAATAACCAAAAATTGTAAAGTACCCGGATATTATAGCTGAATAAGACCCAGGTACTTTATATGTTTACCCCAACTCTCCGATTGACAAGTATTGAATAATACCCGATGCACATAATATATAGGCAGTACTCTTTCGGTAATTGGCTATGGATTAATCGGAATTTGTGTTACTAGCGCTAGTATATTTACTTCTTAGTAAAGAAGTTTATCCATTTTATAAAATACAAACGTTTGATGACTTTTAGATGTTATGCACCATAGCGATAGTGCTCTTTATATCGATAGCATCCGACATAACGTGTAATCTCTTTATAACGAACTGATGGTTCTGTTAGTAAAAAAAAAAGTTCGTTATATAAAGTCACTATATTTTCTAGAGCTCACTACTCTTTCTAATGAATCAATATAAAATTTATAAATTTAAGGTTCGTTGTATCCAGAGTTCGTTATAAAGAGGCTCGTTATAGAGAGAGAGTAGAGTGTTTCATTTTGGCTTATCATATCGTTATCGATATGATCTATAAATTGTAGAACATTGGTAAATAACTATGCACATGTTTGACGACAAAAGATCGAATCGCAGTACAGGTATATACAGTGCTCGTCAGGAGTAACGGACCCCCTATAACTTTCCATAGATCATGTGTAATGTTCTGAAATTTTCCGAACACAAAGAACATTACAAATGCTGATCATGATACCTTTTATAGATTGGCAGAGCTTCTATATCGGGGTATTGTATGTTCATAAACTTTCATGCCCCAAATACAATAATCGATCACTTTAGGACATAATATCTCGACGTCCAGAGATCCGATTTGAGCAAAAATACTACCATTTGATTTTTCTAGATTAGACAAATCGAATGGTAGTATTTTTGCTCAAATCGGATCTCTGGACGTCGAGATATTATGTCCTAAAGTGATCGATTATTGTATTTGGGGCATGAAAGTTTATGAACATACAATACCCCGATATAGAAGCTCTACCAATCTATAAAAGGTATCATAATCAGCATTTATAATGTTCTTTGTGTTCGGAAAATTTTAGAAACATTACACATGATCTATGGAAAGTTATTGGGGGTCCGTTACTTCTGACGAGCACTGTATTTCATTATTATGCGAAAGCGATAGTGAATTCAATATTTGAACTATGTTGTAGGGCAGATAAAAAAATTTCGCCTTCGTATTTCAAAAGAGATTTTTCGTAATTTCTTTTGTTTTTAGAATTTTCTTTTAGTGTTTTCCTTACTTTATCGAGCAATACGGTATCTACTACGTACTCTCGTAAGAGTGTTTCTGAAATTTGTAAGCGGGATTCAATCGACGAATCTTTTGGCCGTTTACTTATTTTCTCGGATAATGGAATTCCAGCCGATGAAGCATATCGACTTGCCAAGCTCGTTTTGAAAGAGCGTCGACATGGTGGACAGCAAAATATAGTTGTTTGCGCTATTCCCCTATAATAAAAAAGTTTTAATAAATTATGTATGCAAGAGAGTAATTGGATTAATTATTAACATGGAGATAAATTTTTACTTCCAAAAATTAGGACAAATATTTCTGCTATAGAAGTATAGAATCATCCCGCATTTGAAAGCAAATTAACAACTAAAAGAAGTAATGATTTAATAAATATAAAATAATAATTGATTGAGAAAGTGCATATGTATACTTTACAGTTGATTGATGTTCCAGTTGGTTCATATCTCATTTCAATCATTGGTTTGGGATGTTTATATTTTAATTTAACAGAAAATTTTTCTTCGAAATTCACTTCTAATTCTGGAATATCTTTATTGATTCGCACTGATGTAAAGCTGATTTCGAATCGGGTTATCGATCCTACGTCGGCATAGATCGTGTTTCTGTCGTCATTAATTAATGTAGTAAGGGTCGTAACGATAGTAAGGTTTGAAAAGGGGGTATAATCTAAATAGAATCATTCTTTGCTCTTGATTATTGTCGCGATCATTTAAATTTGTTTCAATGTTGGAAAAATTAAACTATGTATCAATAGAAAAACAATCCGGATCTCCACAAAAATTTGTATTTTACACTTTGATCGTAGCGATGAGGGTGCATTATATGCACGTTTAATAAGCGAAAAGTCACGGTTTTGCGTCATATTCACTGTACCCCTAATATCATCAAAGCTTAATTTAACTAAGCAAATATTAACATCTGATACGATGGAGAATAAAAATTAATATGACAAGAAGAGCGTTTACAAGAGCAAATAGAACCAGATGCCTAGTTAATATCAAGATCAATATTGGGTCCGCTATGATATACATTAAAAGTCCTATATCGATATGAATCTTGAGAGATCAATAATGCGCTAGGGTCAAGAAAATACTCTAAATACAATAAATATAGGTAAGCTTATAAATAAAGTAAATAGATACTAACAAATAATGATAAATTATTACTACCGTTATTTGATTTAATAAATTAATAAAGTGTAAGTGTTACATTTCTTGTACTCTTTCATCTTGGCTTGACTTCGTTCACCAAATGGTCGTTCATCAACCTCGTACGTAATCATCACAAAGCTATAAATATCTGCAGTCTTAGTGTATGTTTCCATTTAGTACCTCTGGACTCATATAAACAAGTGCTCTGTAAATTTTTTGATCAGATTTTTCTATATCTGCTGGTTTGGTTTGATAAGTGCAAAATCAGCTTTATCACTAATTATTCTATTCGTTAATACATGTGAAAGTTATGATGCACAAACTCCTCATTGTGAATTTATCGAGTACATGTAATATCAATTAAATGTATTACGTAATTTCACTCACCAATTCAATTCGTATTTGCGTAGATCACCATCTGCTGCAGTCTTTCTGAAAATAAGCTATCTATAGAAAAACTAGGGGATAACTTATTTTTGGAAGTTACACTTTTTGCATTTTAGGCTGGATAAACATGGGGTAGCTTTTTTTTGGATGTTTTTAAATATGAATTCGAAGCTAGTGAGAAATGAAAATGAATTTATCGTATGGTTAATTTTTTAATACGTAATATGATGATATGATATAACAATACAATAACAATATCGATATCGATATAATAAGGGTAGCTTATCTTCTGAACTAGGCATTTACATATTTTAGAAGCTTAAAAGATAGGGAGTAGCTATTTTCGGAGGCGGTTACTTATTTTCGGAGATATACTTTACTCATTTTTTAGTTATTCCATAATATTGTAAACCGAATTTATCAGTGCACTTTAGAGCAATTTGAATCTAATTTTGAAAAAGTTAATTATATTAAAAAAGCAATAGGCTTACGTTTTAAGAGGCGTTCATTTACCCCGTTTTGTAAACTGTGTAATGATTTCAACACAACTTCGTGTTTGCCACGTTGCTTAAATTTATTTTTTCTATGATCCCACCCAAGAGAGTAATCC